GCCGCAGCCGCAGTGTCTGCCGCCTCTCCGGCAGGAGCTGGGCGCCGTGCTGCAGGCCACCGCGCAACAGTCGCCGCAGCCCAGCCGACCCATGCCCGAGGTCGCGGCCTACCAGGAGCGGTCCCTCCGGGGCTCACTCCCCGACACGCCTTACCACCACCATCACAACAGCAGCGCCAGCAACAACGGTTACCACTCGGCCGTGCCATCGCAGGCCCGCCACTCCTCGCCCTCTTCCTCGCCGCTGCAAGCGACTCCGCCTCCGCCGAGGCAGCCCTCGAACATTCTGCCTTCGCTCTCTTCGCTCCTGCTCCTTCCCTCATTGCCATCGCCAATGCCGGCGGCCCAGCAGCCTGCGCCGTCGCACTCGTATCGGCCTCTCGCCCCAGCTACCAACGACTACCACGACATGGGCAACAAGCGAAAGCGAGAGCGCTGGCAATCGCCCGCCCAACCCTGTACTTTTGTTTGATTGACCTCCTTACCCCTCCTCCATGTACATACACGTAAATACTTGAGTAAATAAAGCCTTTCCCACAACTGGCCTTGTCAATGGGAGAGTGGTGAGACCCAAAACGAAGAAGATATAAAAGACAAGAAATGGTGGTGCACGCCCACCAGCTTTTTGGGAGTTGGCTTGGTCGTGAGCACGAAAGGGGGGATGTGATGGGGGCAGGGGGATAAGAGCTGACGGATACGGCCATACTGCGCAGAAAGCACCGCTTCCCATCCGAACAGCGAAGTTAAGCTGCGCCAGGCGGTGTTAGTACTGGGGTGGGCGACCACCCGGGAATCCACCGTGCCGTATCCTTTTGCTTGTTGTGAGTGATCCTCACCACTCTGCTTCTGAATCCCTCACCACCCTCCCTCCCCACTTCAATCCACCACCATGATGTTGTTAGGTCACTCAGGGTTAGCTAAGCATGATTGTGAACTTCATTTGCACATCAACAATTTTTTTATGATGACTTTTTCAGATCATCTCAGAGGCATTTTTGGTCACTCTATTTTATGGCCACTTCAACCTCCTCACAATCCATTATATTGTACATTGACCAAAAATCAAAAAGTACCACTGTCACTTTTTTCCCAACTTTGTTGAGCTTGACCACATGCAAATCACACAAGCCAACTCCAACTTCACTCCATCAAGCTACTACAAAGCCATGGCCACTAATTTATAAAGAAAGATACCTCCTCTCCTGTGATTTGCTAAACATTGCACTCCACAGGAGGTAAGCATTGCTTTGTCCACAGACTCCATGCAGACATGGAATGTCAACTACCACAAGACTTTTACTCCCATCATCAAGAACTTCTAGCCAAGTGTTTTGAAATCAAGTATCTACACCCCAAGGCCACCGTTTGGCTGTTGTTCATGAGGTGTACAGATCAATGAAAGCTTGGGCATCATTTTCAGAAAATGTACAGAAGTGGAGGATGTTATTGAAGAAGGAATGACAAGGCAGCATCTCTTTTTATGTGCAGATGGCCATCTGACATGCATTAGATGGCCATGTTGCTGAAATATGTGCATTTTTCACATGTTCCATTCACATTTCTCAGATTTTGTGCATTGAACTGGTCAAAGTGTACTGATGACACCAGTCTGTTTCTGGAGGGTGTGCAGATACTGGTGTTACAGCCCTGACAATCTGTGCATGCTGCCAGATTGTTCATGAAAAAGTGTTACTTACCCTTTTTTGTGAACACTTGGTTTTCTGTCTGTGGACAAAGCAGTCCTTTACCTCTTGCCCTTGGCTTAAGCTTGAACATCATCTTAAAGGCACTCATGCCTATTCCTGGGCTTGAGGGCTGAGCTTCCAGGGTGGTGATGAGGTGAAGTTCAACCTTCCCTTTCTCACCTACCAACCAAGATGACAAAGGGGAAGGTGAAGATTTTGATCCAGATGTTGTCGCATGATATTGGGCAGATGTGGTGGCTGAAGTGGTGAGGGATTCAGAAGCAGAGTGGTGAGGATCACTCACAACAAGCAAAAGGATACGGCACGGTGGATTCCCGGGTGGTCGCCCACCCCAGTACTAACACCGCCTGGCGCAGCTTAACTTCGCTGTTCGGATGGGAAGCGGTGCTTTCTGCGCAGTATGGCCGTATCCGTCAGCTCTCATCCCCCTGCCTCCATCACATCCCCCCTTTCGTGCTCACGACCAAGCCAACTCCCAAAAAGCTGGTGGGCACCACAATGGTGCGCACGATCTCCTTTGTTACTTCACCCACACAGACCAATCAAATCAATAATGTTACAATCACTGCGTTGCCAAGGGCATCAATCGACCTCTTCGATGGTTGGACCGCGCGTGGGAGGGGCTGCATTGGGCGCGGGACTCTCGGGCAGGGTCACAGGGAACGACCAAAGAAGGTCCTGTAGCTCGGCGAGTTGGCCGCTCACGGCGTTGAGCACTGAGTTGGCCCGGGCCATGATGGCGGCGTCGGCCTGTTCCGCTTCGGTCAGGTTGGCCGCCATCGCGCGCTGAATCTCGGCGGTGGTGGCTTCGATCACCCGCTGCACGTCGGCGCGATAACCCAGGCCCGCGAGCAGGTGGTCATGCAGCCGCGTGTTGGCCTTGGCAGCAAGCAGCGCCCACTCCTCGCTCCTGTCGGCCACCCTCTCGGAGAGGAACGCCAGAGCTGCGAGCGTGGCCACCACCTGTTTGAACCAAACCACCGCCACCACCGCAGACATTCCACAAAGAATAGGTTAGCTCGGTCGACGCTCGGCTGGTGGGCGTGTGTACCGTGTCCACGGTGAGCGGCTCGAGTTGCAATGGTAGAGGCGGGCAGTGTTGCTTCACGTCGAATTGGAGGACCTCGCACAGCTTAGGGGTGGGAGGCCACTCGCCTGTGTAGTCGTTGCCGCACAGCCAGCTCACAGTGAAATCATGCTCGGGCGTGCGGCAGAGAAAATTGGCTGCAAGCGCACGGAGGCGGGCGTACCGTTCGCTTTCTGTAGCGCAATCAGTTGCATGTACTGCGCTTCTAGCTCGGCCGCCTGGCGATGACACACACGCGCACGGGACACGCCAGGAGTGAGTCATCTCCGCACATCACGTTCCCCTCCTCATGAGTACGCCGGTTCCCGATCCTCACCTTCTTCATGCGGCGCTCGTCGAGCTGCGCGAACAAGGACTCGACGGCCTGCGACGCCGTGGCTAGGTTCTTATCGAAGGGCGTAACCCGGCGGGCCACAGACCCCGCGCTCACGCCTGTGTGTGGGCCAATAAGACGCTGTGTGAGGAGCTGCGACTGTTGACTGTCAACAGGCACTCTCCAGGGGGGTTGCAGGGGGAACCTCTGCCGCATTGGGCCTCGATGATCCGGCGCAGCTCGTCGTCCGCGGTCTTCGCCGCCTCGGCCTCCCTGACCATCCGCTCAACCTCGGCCGCGCTGAGCCTCCCCTTCACAGGCGCATATGGAAAC